ACATCAGTGGCGTAAAACCAGTGTCGTCGACGGTGTCCGGGTGCATGGGGAGCTGTAGCAAGGCTTCAACCTGAGAGCTCCAAGAAGCTTTGTGATCCAACAAATCGTGGTTTGCAGTTTGGAGGTACCTCGTGAGAGTTGAAATGAAAAGGCAAAAATGCAAAGTTCCAGCGACTCCCTTTGTGAATTAGCTAGCTGCCCCGCCTCGACCACGAGGCCCTCGCGTGCTGCCTCGCAAAGCTCCGCTTGATCGGAGACGGAAGCCTCGGCGAATCCTGTGATCAACACCTGCAGATCACTCACGCTCTCCAGCTTCAAAGTCACGTCGTCCTCTGGAGCGAATCGTGGCTTCAAGGCCCCTTCGCCGGCAGAACTGTGTTCGGCTGCAGCAGCGAGTTCGGAGGATGTCGTCACCACAGCTTGCAGACCCACGGAATCCAGCCTGACGGCATCATCCAAAGTTTTGCCGTCGTGAAGGAGCCTTTGCCTGAAGCGCGGCGGCAGGCCAAGCTCTTGATGCAAACGCTGCTTCAAAGCCTTCACATCGCTCAGCTCAGTGAGAGGAAGGCTTGTCAACTCTTCCCCGGAGAGCAGTGTGATGCGTAGCATTACTGGAGCACAGAGCAGATTTGCGAAGCTCGAATGATTTGCATTACTAGAGACCAGTCCGAAGCTAGACGTTACCATACTCTACGATGCAATACTCGAATGGGCACCACTGTACCATATACTATATCTACACCCGAATGGGCACCACTGTACCATATACTATATACTTATACTGAATACTATGTATACTACACCAAACTTTGGGACGCATGCCAGGCGTTTTCAGCCTCGAGGAATGCAATGGTTCCAGGGCTTCTTGGAGGCTGGCCGCGGAAGGGTCCAAGCATCTCTCTCTCGCTCTCTCCATAAGGATCTAAGGACCTATATGTTAAGGCTTTTGGGCCCAAAGACCATACGAGAGAAGGCTTTTGGGCTATTTCGATCCCTAGGGTCTCTCTCTCTCTCTCTCTCTTTCTGTCTCTCTCTCTCTCTCTCTCTCTCTCTCTCTCTCTCTCTCTCTCCATATTACAACATCTGATTCAATTTGACAGCACATTCTATTGTGGTGTGTATTCTGTCATGGTACAGTTTGCTATTTTAGCGTATATTATTTTGCTATTTCATACTGCAAAAATTAGGGTTGAGGGTTTGGGGTTTAGGGTTCGGGTTCGGGGATGCTCTACCATGGGCCTCGCAAAGCAAATGCCTGGAGCAGAATCCCAAAGACATCTGATGAGATCTGATGAGAACTGCAAGCCCTGAATCCCTGCATCCCACCACCCAGAAGGAAAACCCTGAATCCGTAACCTGGTGTGCGAGCCTCTCGTTTCGTGAATCGCAAACGAAGTTAATACTGTATGGGGGCCTAAATAGTTACCAATACTATTTCCGAGGTTCCTTATTGTAGTTATAGTATAATCTGCCCCAAAACCTTACTATTAGAATATTAATAAGGCCCCTCTATTAACCGCCAACCCGTCCCAGCCCAGTGCACCGACCTGCGACTCCCGGCACGGAGCCTGCGGCTTCTCCGTTGCGGCTACTTCGGTGCTTCTGATTCTTCCTATGGGTGGTTGTCAATATTTGGGTCCTTCTTTGGGATCCTTATTATAACACGGCACCTAACATTTAGGGTACCCAAAAACGGACCATAATTTTGACAACCACCCCTATGATGGTTTCGATTCACGGTCCCATTTGCTGTTCACACGTTTGTGATTCTAGACAGGCTTTGGGGGTTTGGGCTGCAGAACCTCGCAAATCACTCAGATCCTGAACCCTGCGCCCTAGAGTCTTCAGGAGCTCGTTGAGAGATGCTTGAGGCACGAGGTTTGCTACAAGCATTCTTGTGGCTGGGGAGGAAGAGCTTCGAATCTTGGGGGAAAACCGGTGCGCAGTGCCAACATCTGAAGCGTAAACCTACCTGTATCCCCAAACCTTACAAAATAGTACGTTATGACCCCTTATTTAGAGGGTCTAACCCTTCAAACGGTAGGTTTTCGGATCTCCAAGTAAATCATAAACCGAAGCGTTTACAGCTTCGTGCATCCCTAAGGAGTTCAAGCCTCGTGCACCAGCAGAAAGCACAAACATCGTCGGAATACAGAATATTCGAGTCTAGACGCAGCTGGGCTTTAGGATTCCGCAAAGCTTCTACTCATGTTGACAGCTGTAGCACCTTAGGAACAGATTTTTGGCGATCCTGGATGCTCTGGAGCTGTTGGCTCAGGTTCAAGCAATCGCAGGACTTCGCATTTAGATGCCAAAGTCATCGCCGTCTTGCCGGCATGGTTGCGCACATCGACTTGAGCGCCTGCGTCTAGGAGCAGCTGCAGTACTGCAGCATGGGCGTTGGAGGACGCATCCATCAGCGCAGTCTGACCATCGTTGTCGGAGAGATCCTTCTAAGCACCGGCCTCTAGGAGCAACTGAACGACGGGAGCATGACCGTTGCGTGCTGCATCCATCAGTGCTGTCCTGCCCAAGCTGTCACGCACATCTATTTCAGAAGCTGCCTCAAAGAGCAGCTGCACGACTGGAACATGACCCCCGTATGCTGCATCAAGCAGTGCACTACGGCCGACATTGTCGTGCACATCTGTCCGTGCACCGGCTTCCAGGAACAGCTTCACGAGGTGAGAATGGCCGTGGAATGCCGCATGCATCAGCGCTGTCCGGCCCCGATTGTCACGCCAACGCACCTTGGCACCGGCCTCCAGAAGCAGCTGTGCGACATCCAAGTGGCCCATTTCGGATGCCCGCTTCAGTGGAGTGCGACCACAATAGTAGAAATCCGGGTCCATGGGGAGTTGTAGCCAGCCTTCAACCTGTGCCAATGACTTGCTTGGAGGATCATGGGACTTAGTAAGTGGGGTTATAAGTCCCATAATTGGGGTTATTAGTAGATATAACAACAGTTACCTTAATTAATAGCCCTAGTTACTAAGTCCCATGATTCTTCAAGTAACCCCTATGGCCGCTACACTCCTCGACCCCAAACCCGAAAACCACAAAGCCCCACACGCCTTAAATCACCAAACCGTGAACACTTCCTGATGAACCCCTTATGCCCTACACCCGAAAGCCTAAACAACCTAAACATGCCACTCCCAGAGCCCTATGATGTTGGGGCAATACTAAGTAAACAGAACACGGCTCCTTTAGAGGGCTCCTTTTATAGGGTTCCTTTGAAAGATGTTATAGAAGGATTTTGGGCTTAGGGGCCAACAACTGGAAATAAAGGCGTTGCGGTATTAGATGGGAATATCCCTGCGCACAATAATACACACTAGCTGCTCGATCGAGGCACCTAATATAGGGGCCTTAACAATTAGAATAGGGGTTTTGGGCCGATTATACTTTAAATATAAGGAACCCCCACGTATTTATAGGTACTTATTTAGGCCGCTATATTAGCTTAAACTGTCAGGGGGCATTCCTCAGTTAAGGACTTATGAAAAGCCATATAAACATCAAGCTCTCTGTACCAAGATACTCTGCCCTAAATTAGCGGCCTATTAGCCCGATAAAGCCCTGATCAACAACCACAAAGTGGTAACTTAGCTAAAGACTTACTAGAGAGCAATAAACCCCTACCTAAACCCTAAACCCTCTTTAATGAAGGAACCTGATTAAGAAACCCTGGCCCTATAAACCCCCAAATAATAGGACTCATGTGAAGAACCCGAATTTTGACCCGGGGTTTCTTAATCGGGTTCCTACTTGGAGGATCATGGGACTTAGTAAGTAAGGTTTCGAGCACCACAATTGGGGTTCTAAGTAGTCATAAGTATAGTTACCCTAATTATAACCCTAGTTACTAGTTACTAAGTCCCATGATCCTTTAAGTACATTGCCATCTAAGGAATCGACAACTCAGTTGAAGCCCCCGGGCCCTTGAAGATTTCTGGTCCGGATCCGGTAAGACGAGAGAGAACGCCGGGTCCCCCTTTAAGGGTTCCTTTAAAGGGCCCCTTCAAGGGGTTCTAGAAGGATTCTTAGAAGGTTTCCCGTTAGGGCTGTGTACTTCAGGGTCATCGATGTCTACTAGAGTTCCTTTAACGTCTCTGTAATCTGGCTCTAAAATAACCTTTCTGGGGTTTCCGTATTGCTTCGTGAAGCTTTTACGAAGCCTCCTCTGTTTGCAAGGCGCTGCGAGGGGTCTATTGTTCTATTGACACAGGCTTGCGTAAGAGCTTCAGGGCCACGCGGCCAGGAAATCCACCACCCTGAACCCCTATTAAACACGAAACTGGTGGCCTTCACAGCGTGAGCAGCATCCCTCCGTTCCCAAGCCTTTCCGGAGACCCGACGATCCCTTCTTAATTTGGGAGTATCTCTTAGGTCATCACAAGGACTCTACATTTTAAGGCTAGGTTCCTTTTAAATACAAAGCCCTAATAAAGTCCTATAAACAACCCTCATAAAGCTCTTGCGGAATGCTATATACTGGGAGGTTCATGGGTAGCTATAAGTAGAATTATCAATCCCCTCACATGCGCTGTAACCATAGTTGCCCTAATTCTACCCCCCCTCATAGCTACCCATGAAATCTGAACTTCCCAGTCATGAGCCGCGAATGAAGGGTTTTCGGAGACTCTGAGTTCCGGGATGCGAAAAGGCCCGAGTGTAGTCGGGATCTAAACCCTAAACCCCAGTTTGGGCGTAAGTACGAAGGGTTTCGGGTTTTGGGAGTCTAAGGCAAAGTCACAGGTCTGCAGTGGTTTCTTGGGGCTCCCCATCAATGAGGTACACCGCCTCTGACGCCGAAGTCAACTGTGCGCAAAGAGATTCGTAACTTACGGAAACCCCCCCGTCTGACTGAGGTCTCTTCTTGCGGCAAGAGCTTTGGGGTTCTGAGGACCTCCTCACAACCTGCACGACAGCAGCTTCTTCGACAGCCGTAGCATCCTCGCAGAATCGAAAGCTCCAGCTGCGAGGGTAGGAAGACGTCAGCATGTCTCCCCGCTGAACCTCGGAACTTTTGTAGCCTCCAACAGCTCTGCCAGCGTTAGCCCATCGCACAGATCGTTCTGTGCATCAACCTCCAGGAACAGCTGCACGACTCGGGCATGACCGTTCAGTGCCGCATCGACCAGCGCCGTATTTCCGTCGGCGTTTATCAGATCCGTCTGAGCACGGGCATCAAGGAGCAACTGAACGACTGGAGCATGGTCGCTGCATGCAGCAAGTATCAGTGCTGTGTTGCCGAGATTGTCGCTCAAATCCTTCTGAGCACCTGCCTCCAGCAGCAGCTGCACGACTTGAGCGTGACCGTCGTATGCTGCAGCCATCAATGCTGTACGGCCATCCATGTCCCTCAAGTCCTTCTCAGCACCGGCCTCCAGGAGCAACTGCACGACATCAACGTGACCGTTCTCTGATGCATGCATCAGCGAGGTCATGCAAAACTCATCGTCTGCTGCATCCGGGTCCATCGGCTGCTCCAGCAGGGCTTCAACCTGTGATAACACGGCTTAGGCTGTTTCGGCTTTTTTTCGGATACAACAGGATGACATCGGAATTGTGAGATGAAGCACCAGACCTTCAATGTGTTGGTGGAGACATCATTGCAGGGTACTGGGCTGCCTTGCCTCGGTCACCAGGCCGGCTCGCGCCGCTTCGCATAGCTCCGACCGCTGGTCCTCTGAAGCCTCGATTATCACCTGGGTTGTAGTTCCGTAGAAGTATTTATGAATAGGCACCTTGATAGAAACCATACAGGGGATTGAAACGTGTCCCAAACTGCTACCTAGTCACCGTCTGCAGATCCATGGCGGAATCCAATGCGACGGCATCATCCAAAGTCTTGCCTTCGTGAAGGAGCCTTTGCCTGAAGCGCGGCGGCATGCCGTGTTGCTGATGCAGTCGCTGCTTCAAGGCCTTCACATCGCTCAGTTCCGTGAAAGGAAGGCTCGCCACCTCTTCCCCTGAAAGCAGGGTGATGCGCAGCATGGTTGGCTAAGCCCCAGTGCACGGAGGAAGTTGATGGGTTACACCTGTTTCTTGGAAGGGAGGAGCCATGGACATACACACTGCCGCTTTCTGCCGATTCTCTGAAGCACACGGTCCCTTACAACCCGCTTAGACGCCAAAACTCCAGACGGCAGCGCTTCATCCCGCAGCCCCCCCTTATCGTTGATCACAAACGAATCTTTCAAACCTGAGCACGAGTTTATTCTTCAACTCGGAACAACAATTAGGAAAAGATACTAAAATTTTAAACTAAGATTAAGATAATCTCGAGTTGTGTTGAAAGTCGTTGTGTTGAATTAGAACTGTATGGTCCTCCACTAGCCCGCCCTGGGGTCCCAGGGGCTCACGTTTTTGCAAGGCCCTGCTTGCCTGAGACAGCCGAAACCCGGCAATCGAGAACTGCAAACCGCAAGACCTGGACAAACCGTGATTCACCCAATATTCTAGAACCTTAAGCGTCAATGCTGGACATTCAAGATTCTCATCCCCCACCCCGGGAGCCCAAAACCATGTGATCCAGAAGAGAACTGCTTGACTCATTCCAAGAAGGCTTTCATCAATTATTGATATTCCTCACTTAGGAGGCGAGATGGGGCCTCTGAGAACCCTTTGTCAAAGCATTACAAAACCCCAGACTCCATGAACATCCTTGCAGACCTCTTAAACCTGGAACACCCCAGACTCCAATCCTCCACACTCCTACAGAACCTCATCACCCGGAAGGACCTACAACAACCCTTCCAAGCTAGATCTTAAGACATGGAAAATGCCTTGTGAGACTCGAGCCCCAAACCACAAAACCGTGATTCCTAACCGCGATGAACACATTTTGAGAGCTAATACTATGCGCTTACGAAGGCTGCTGTGCCGTTTAACACCACTTACAGACCCCTATACAAATTTTACAATGCCCAATCGAACAAGCAGTCCTGCAAACAAAGAGCGCAACACTAAGCCCTTATTTCTTTTCAACTCGTAAATCCCTTCGCACCACCTCGACACCTTATCACATACTATAAGCTACTTTCAGATAAGGTGAGATGCCATAATATTCTTGCTCAACTTGTAAACCCTATAAAATAACCGGAACCCTTAAATCCTAAACCCTACTCAGCTTACCCGAAACCCTAAACCTGAACCCTTAAACTTGGAAGCGGCCCTTCCACCTGAACCCTGAAACATCCTTAAGCCCTAAACCCCACTCAACTTGTAACCTGGCCCTTCGAAAATTCCTGGCCTTCAGCACTTTGCCGAGAGGAGCTCACCACCTCCCAGAGCTCTCCCGTCCTTCCGAAGGAGGATCATGGGACTGTAAGTAAGGTTATAAGAACCTTAATTGGGGTTATAAGTAGTTATACTGTAAGTTATAAGTATAGTTACCCTAATTATAACCCTAGTTACTATGTCCCATGATCCTTTAAGTAAGGGCTCCATTAACGGGCCATTGGGGGTCCTGGTTCTTTGGGGGCTTCAGGGTTCCACCGCATCTTGTGGACCTTCTTGGGTCTTCAGTCTTCAGTTCACTACAGGCCCAAGTAAGCCCCAAGTACTCTAGAAGAACAGGGACCGCCTTAACATTTCAAAGCCCCGGTTGGGACCTACGCCGGATTGAAGCGAACCCCTGCTCTTTTTCTTACAGAGGGCTGGAAAAGACAGAGCTGCTTCAGGGTGTAAGCGAGGGAGAAAAAACCGTGTCCCTTGAGGCACGTGGAATAGAAACTCCCCGAGAAGAACAGAAGGCCCCGGCAGCGCAGGATACGGCCAAGCCGTCCCCCGGCCAGACGGGCAGAAAAGAAGGAACCCCGGCAACACAGGGCACGGCCGTGCCGCTCCCCGGCACAGGCTTCTTACAGAGCCCGGCCACGCAGCAACCGGAAACCTGATTGGGATAGTCATAAGTAGAACTACCATGGATCCCCCAACGAATGTACCTTTCAGACAAGGGCAAGCTGCGCGAAGGGCTGGAAATTTCATTACACAGACAACAGCTGAACCAGCAGACTTTTAAAGTCCAGAAGCAAGCCTTCTGTTTCAGCATTGTCTTCAGCGCTCTGTGAGAGCTGCCTCAAATCATTGTGTAAGACTGGCCTCCAGCAATCGCTGGACTTCGGGGGTAGTCGCCATCATCAGCGCCGTCTTGCCCTCGATCCTACGCATATCCTGCTTAGCGCCGGCCTCCAGCATCAACCTTGCGACTGGGGCATAGCCATGGATGGCCGAATACATCAGCGCTGTGTGGCCCCGATTGTCACGAGCGTTTGCTTGAGCATTGGCCTCGAGTAGCAGCTGCACCACGGTCTCATCACAATTCTTTGCTGCTGCCATCAAGGCTGTGTGGCCGCGGCTGTGAGGCACATCTTTCTTCGCACCAGCTTCCAAAAGCAAGCGCACGACTGGAGCGTGACCGCCCTTTGCTGCTTCAAACAATGGGTCACCCAAATCCTTGTCAGCGCCGAAGTCTAGGAGCAACTGCACGACATCCGCATGACCCTTACTTGCGGCATGTGCCAGCGATCCACGCGTATCCGGATCCATCGGGAGCCGCAGCAGCCTTTCGACCTAAGCGTTTCAAGAAAGCTAAGGCTTCCATGTTAGACTTTGGAGCAGACAGCACTCGGGGCACTCAGAGCACTCCTGAACTTCCGCAAGGTCTTTCAAGGACTTTTTGTATGCCTGCCCGCCTCGGCTAAGTGACCACCGCCACTGCGTCCACACTCCCATCCTCTCTCGGCCACATAGTCACACGCATCCACGTCGGCCCCGGCCTGCAGCAGCAACCGCGCAGCTGACACATGACCTTCGTCTGCTGCACAAATCAGCGCAGTCCGCCCGCGCCAATCGCGCAGATCCGTCTGTGCACCGGCATCCAGGAGCAGCTGCATGACTTGAGACCATCCCAACGCTGCTGCGACTATCAGCGCTGTGTCACCGTCATAGTTTTTCACTGCCACGAACATTCGTCTCTGCGCCGGCCTCCAGGAGCAACTGTACGATCTCCACGTGGTCGCATTCAGACGCCCCCATCAGTGGAGTCCTGCCATCCGAAGATATAGCATCCGGGTCATCCGGGTCCGTGGGGAGCTGCAGCAGAGCTTCAACCTGAGAGCTTGAGAAAACACTGGGTTTCGGCCTCCATCTGACAATCTACCAAATTTGAGGTCTTGGGGATGTCTTGTTTGTTGAAAAGCAGGATTCTGGAGATGTGATTTCTAACCGGTGCTCAGATCATGGTCAGTGCCGTACCCCCCCTGCCTCATCCACGCGATCCTCGGATGCCGCTGCATAAAGCTGTCGGCACTGGTCCTTCGAATCCTCGTAGGAAAATGCCACGATCAACACCTGCAGATCCATCGGGGTGTCCAGTTGGAAGCAATCATCCAAAGTGTTGCCTTCGTGAAGCAGCCTCTGCCTGAAGCGCGGCGGCAGGCCGTGCTGCTGATGTAGTCGCCGCTTCAAGGCTTTCACGTCGCTCAGCTCCGTGAGAGGAAGGCTAGTCAGCTCCTCCCCGGACAGGTGCGTGATGCGGAGCATTGAACAGCTGACTGCAGATTTTCGCAGTGGTGTTATGCAGGGTTTCCTGTTCTGCATTATTGGGTGAAGGCACTGTACCTTAACAGAAATGGTTAACAAAGCATTCGGGGCTTCGGGTTTAGATGGGTTTAGGCTTTAGAGTCGAGGGTTTAGGGTTTAGGACAACTCCTCAAAACGAGATGCTTGCTTGAACCTGTTTAGGGAATAGGGATTGGTCAGTTAGGGGTAGCTCAGGTACCCTGTAGCCGAGCGTGAACCCCTTGTGGTTTCGGATTTAGGTCAGGGCTTAGTGTAGGGGCCTTAATGATTAGAAAAGGGTTTCGGGGTACATAAAAGTATATTTATGATAAGGAATCCTACGGAAGAGCACTTGTAGTTATTTAAGCCCCTATAGTAGCGTTTGGGGTTTGAGGTTTGGGATGGAGCTGGGAATTGGGATCACGAGAACAAGCACAGCTGACGAATGTCATTCTGGATGTTGTCAACATCTTGGTGGGTGCTGGGTAGGCCCAAGGCTCTTGACTGAAGATTCTCCTAATCAAACAATCCGTCAAGTAGCCTGAAGCGTAGAACCCGTAACGCTTCACTGCCCAGAACCTTTTATCATCTTCCTTCAATCCACCGAGGTTAACACCATAGGGGCCTTCATAATTAGAATAAGGTTTGGGGTCCTACTTGGAGGTTCGTGGGTAGTTATAAGTGGAGTTACTCTATTTACAACCCGTATTGGGTGACTCATAGCCGCACTTATATCTAATAATGAACGTTCAAGTGTAGCAACCATTGCTGACAGATAGGGTCCTCGGCCATCCGTTTCGCCGGAGTCTTCTGGCAGCTTTGCGGCGACCGGGGCGGAGCCTGCAGCACATTTCCGATTCTTGAGTCTCAGTATGTGTGCTCTTCTTGCGGCGGTGGCGATGCTGATGGTGATGATGAAGATGGTGATGGCAGTGACTGTTGCTTCTTCTTCTTCGCCTATGTCTCATCACCGGATGGACTCCTGCCTAAATACCGCAACTGCGCTTTTTCTCGACAAGTGTTGAAGGCTCACGCTGCACCGGAGCTCTCGGCGTCAGTGCCTGAAGCCTGAATCGGCAGCAAACTTCAAGAAACTGAAGGTATGCGAAGAGTTCTCCTTTAAAGGCTCGGGTCTAGGGTAGGGTGCATAGGGTTACTTAAAGGATCATGGGACTTAGTAACTAGGGTTATAGTTAGGGTAACTATACTCACAGCTACTTATAACCCCAATTAAGGTACCTATAACCCTACTTACTAAGTCCCATGATCCTCCTCTAAGTAGGGTTAGGCCCCATAGTAGTTCCTTTTCGGCATTACCTTATCGGAAACTATGGGGCCTATGGGTATAGGGTTAGTCTTCATGAAAGGCAGGAACCCGTGCAGGCAGCTCAGAACCTCGGGGGAATCGCAACACAACTCGAGCTCGCAGCTCCCAGCATTTTTCAGATCTGCAGCCGATTCCCAGAGAGCCCAAGGGGCCCCTTAATTAAGGAATATATGGCTTAAATTATGTAGGGCGTAGTATTGTGATCTAAGCTCTATTCCTTGATTAAGGGGTATTGGGCTCTCTGGGTAGCTTGAGATTATGTTGCGGAAGGGCCCTCCAGCAATCGCCGAACTTCGGGGTCAGTTGCCATCATCAGCGCCGTGCGGCCGTAGATGTTAAGCAAATCCTTCTCGGCGCCGGCCTCCAAGAGCATCCCAACGATTGCAGCATGACTGCCATCTGCTGCCCGCATCAGTGCGGTGTGGCCCCGAAAGTCAACTATCATATCTAGCTGGGCCCCTGCTTGGAGCAGCAACCGCACGACTGGAGCATGACCGCTGAGTGCTGCAATCATCAGCGCTGTTTCGCCGAAATTGTCACGCGTGTCGGGGCAGGCACCGGCCTCCAGGAGCAACTGTGCGACATCCACGAGGCCGTTCTGAGACGAGATCGTTAATGGCGTCCTGCCACCAACATCTCTTGGACGCTCGTCTGGAGCACTCGGATCCATGGGGAGCTGCAGCAGCGCTTCAACCTCAGAGCTTGAGAAAACACTGGGTTTCGGCCTCCATCTGACAATCTACCAAATAAAAGGTCTTGGGGATGCAGCTTGCTCGTGTTGTTTGTTGAAATTCTGGAGATGTGATTTCTAACCGGTGCTCAGATCATGGTCAGTGCCGTACCCCCCCTGCCTCATCCACGCGATCCTCGGATGCCGCTGCATAAAGCTCTCGGCACTGGTCCTTCGAAACCTCGTAGGAAAATGCCACGATCAACACCTGCAGATCCATCGGGGTGTCCAGTTGGACGCAATCATCCAAAGTGTTGCCTTCGTGAAACAGCCTCTGCCTGAAGCGCGGCGGCAGGCCGTGCTGCTGATGTAGTCGCCGCTTCAAGGCTTTTACGTCGCTCAACTCCGCGAGAGGAAGGCTAGTCAGCTCCTCCCCGGACAGGTGCGTGATGCGGAGCATGGCTGGCCAAACCACTGACTGCACAATTTTGCTGTCGGTTTCGTAGTTTCTGTGTCGTACAAGGCTTCAAATTGGATATATGTGCAGGGATGTAATTATAGGGTCACCAATATACATATGGCCTACTTACACCAGTAGGTGATGATGCACTCCTACGCCGAGATGAACCGTCTGTGCTGGAAAGCCTTTGTATAGCGCAAACCTTAAGCCCCAAGCCTAACTCCCTAAACCCTAAGCCCTAAACTCCCAAACCCAACACCCTAAATTCTAAAGCCACAGACGCTGGGCCACAAACACATGGGGACAAGAAGTAAAGCCCTAAACGCGCTCACCGCAAAAGTGTTCTTAAGCTCCGAGTGTCCTTATTTGGAGCTTCACGGGTAGTAATAAGTGGAGTTATGCGTAGGGTTTAGGGTTTATAGGGTTTAGGGTTGGGGTTATACGTAGGGTTACTATAACTCTTATCCATATTCAGGGACTTATAACATTACTTAAAACTACGCGTGAGCCTCCAGCTGGGGCTTCATCGGACTCAAGAGACCAGTCTATAACGACTAGGGAGATTGCAGGTGTGCTATCGACTGTTGGGGCTGAAAGCAAGGATTCTGCAATGCAAGTTGCGGGATGTTCAGGGATTTGGGCCACTAGCCTGAAGCCACAGACTTTCACTCTAAAGGGAACTCCAGAAAGTTGGAATATGGATTAATGGTAGGATCCCCTATAATTTACCTTAAAGGGGTTACGATAATGATATTCCAACTTTCTGGCTTCTACTGTAAGCTCTAAACCTGCGCTTTGCAGCACAGTCGTTGCCTGCGCGCTAAACCAGAAGCTCTTAAATCTTACACCCTTGAAGGCTTCAGCCATTTACGCCCTGAGCCTTTCTACTCAAACGCAAATGCCGCTTCTGTCGACGGCGTTGCTGGTACCAGTTGTGGTTTCAAGCTGTGTTTGGACCCGTCGAATCCCCAGACCTTCACCCTACTTTAGGGGCCTGGATAATTACCTATACTATTTCAGGGGTTCCTTATTATGCTTTTAGTATCATGGGCCCCAAAAAATATTACACCTGCAATGCTTTTAAGTGCGCACTCTTGAAAGTTCTAGTACGATATTGAGCCCTGCTACTATAGGGGCCTTAATAAGTGGAATAGGGTCTTAAGGCCCATGGTACAATAAAAATAATAAGGAGGCCCTAGCATAGTATGGGTACTTACCCAGAGACTCCAAAACCCCTTAATTAAGGAATATACCTTAAACTATAATAGGAGCCCTAATATGGTTTATGGTATATTCCTTAAGGGGTTTTTGGAGTCTCTGGGTATTTAAGCCCCTATATTGCTCGAATGCTGCGTCGTCTCCACGGGTTTAAGCTCCTATGTTCTTAATGTAGGGGGGTTTAGGGTGTAGGGTTTAGGGGTTTAGGGTTTAGGGTGTAGGGTTTAGGGTTTAGGGCTTAGGGGTTTAGGGTGTAAGGGTCAGAATAAATGAGAGTAGGTTGTTGGGCTCCTCAATACTAATCATTATGGTCAGGAACCGCAAGGAATAATATCGGTAATCAGCTAGGCTTCTACATTACTGCGAGCTTTTTCTGGGACCCCTCCCACAAGGCCCTTGAATACAGCCCTCATGGTTCTTCATAGTAGGCTTGAGAGGCGAGTCGAAGCCTGAGTGAAGCTCCGCAATGAATGCACACGGCTCTCCCGCATAAGGGCTGCAATATAAGGGGCTTAACAACTAGAATAGGGTTTTGGGGGAGATTTTCACGATAAGTATAAAAAGGAGCCCCCCCCGCCCCCAAAGCAGTATTGGTATTTATTCAGGCCCCTAAATTATGTCAGGATTGTAACGGCTTGCGCTTCCCTCTACCCGAGCAGCCCTCAAGCCCCAAAGACGTGCAAAGTCCCGAAAGCATCGTCCTCAAAGCTGTCTTTGTCCATTTGGGCACGAC